ATCCAGGAAATAATATGTCTTAGGCAGCAGTTTTACCACAAATACAGACAAGTGATACCACCACAACCACCAGACATACTTAATTGTGTCTGGCTGCTTTACAGTGAAACAAGCTTATTGCGACCGATTCCCTGACATAACATTCATTGCGACCCATTTAACAGATGCATCATTTTAAGTTAGAACAACTTGAATAGCAACAAATAAAAAACAATAAAAATAATCAACTAACTACGACCATCTAGCCCTCTATTAAACATTAAAGAATTATTTCATCATACGTTTAGCTTACTCAGTAGTGCTGCATTCTTAGTTGAACCGCTTGAGCGGGAAGTTTGTGTGTCAGATGTAACAATTAAAATGCGACTTTGTGAAACGGACTGTCCTAAATTGTTGCTATAGTAGCATCATATTAATGCTAGAAAGCCTATGCATTTGGCAACTGTATTTTTTTAAATAAAGCATTATATTTAATAAATAAAATCTATTTTCACACTCATCTTGAGTGAGGGGGCGACGCCCCCCCGTGGCACCGGCCCTAGCCGGAGTAAGGTGTTGGATCTGGGCCAGAATTAAAATTGAAGTGGCCCAAATTTGGGCCAGTTCTGCTTTATTTGGTTTATTCATGGCTGACATTGGGCCTTCCTTTGGCTTGCTTGTGGCCCAAATCTGGCAAACAGGAGCGGACTGCCCAAGTGCCATCATTCCATGTGGTATGTGGGCCAGATGAAAGTGTCAGGTGTGGGCCTGATCTGGGCCTCATGAATTTTGCTATCTGGGATGAGATGTTAATCACTTTAATTTAAATCATACTTCAGGAAATATTTTATTTTGCATATCCGTGAAATAAAAAATATATATAATAGGTATTTTTTTTTTTTTTAATTCCAAAACATAAGCATTATTGTCTTAGAAGTCAGTTACTCTAATTTTAATAGCAAACCAGTATATTTATTGAAAAAGTAAATGTTTAAAATGTAAAATTTTAGAAATTATATTCGTAGGTGATTAAGGTATAATTACTTATTTGCAATTAATCTGAGTTTATGATTACTTAAAATTTGAGACTTCTCACATTTAAAATGGTACAGCAATCAGAATCATTAATAATGTGAATGCCATTTTCACAATAACCACTGTGTTTTTTTCCCTCGCTGGCAGTGTGTCAAGTCCATTCTTCTAAATAGAAATAAAGCACTTTAAGTGTAACTGTGAAGGATTTTTAATTATGTTCTTTAAGTGTACAATTATGTAAGCCCAGATTGTGTGATACTGCTAAACCCAAATTTCTAATATGAAAAAATAAACCTTTTTTATCCTTGTTCTGTGCCTGTACATATTGCTTTTATTTCTTTCTGTTTCAAATCCTCTTTGCTTCTCTTGATGTCTTTGTTTCCAGTGCTTGCTTGGTTTACTGAGAAAACAATATATTGTGACAACGTTCATTATTAAGCAATAATGAAGAAACAAGGCCGCCTTGTCAAGTTAAAAGTGAGGACGATCAATAACCGTCGTCTGCATGTTGGATCCATATCCAATCCATATTAGCTGCTCCCACAAGGATTTGCAACTCGGCCGGTGAAGATCAAGGCATTGATGCTGGATTCACGGATAAGCAAAAGGAAGGGTCGGTCTGCAACAAAATTCTCCCGGTAGATGTTTAAGGAACGTCCAGTAGCAACAACCGCTGTGGCGGCAGCAGCCTCGCTACCTTCTTCATTCACCTGAAAAATTGGAAAACCAGACCATTGGCTAAGAAAGTGTGTATTCCATCTTGGTATGCAGTTAGACTAATAATAAAAACATGGTGCTCGAGTTTGCAAATGATATTGAATGTATTTTACCTCAAGGAAGGCCTTATGGTAGGCGTTGGAGATGTACAAGTTGGGTCCGTCACTGGCAACTATCCCTAGCACAACACAACATGTCGTGAAAATATTATTGTATAGATTCATCAGAACTCAAGATGTCACCCCAACAATGAACACAAATCCACACAGCAAAATGTAATCGTAATTAAGCCAAGACCTCATAGAAGTAGTCCATATGACTTGTGCTCTACATTCCTAGTCTTATGACGCTTTTAGGTTCTACAGAAGAAAGTCATACAATTTGGAACAACATAGCTATTTTCATACCTGGGAGACTGGCATTTTCTGGACTAAAAAGATGTTCAAGGCCCATTTTCATCAGCTGCTCTTTGAGGCTAAAGTTGTCCTCGATACAGAAACGAGGAAGCTGCACGAACACTGTGGTCTCTTTCATGGCTTGTAACCAACCCTCAAGTTTCTTGAGGTTCATGTTTTCCACCACCTTAATTGGATGCAGTTTTGTTAGGTAGGACTAGAGGAGAAGATTTTTGAGGAGAACATTTTGTCTACTGTTTATAGTCGACTTACTTCCGACAGGGTTGTACCTTCAAAAGGTAATATGAGCACCATTGTGATGTCAGCACCATTGTAGGGCAATTCAAGAATCTTCACCTTGTCATCATTGATTTTGGCATACTGGAATGTCCTCTCTTGGTACATTATGGACACTTGACACTTACGGGTCTCGCTAACGTGAAAGTCTGAATTCATGACATTTTGCTTATCAAATTTGTGTTTCCATTGACCCTGGAACACAAAAACCAGATTGCAACAGAGTTCACAAGTCAGGGGAGTTCAGTCCTGCTCCTGGAGGACCACTTTCCAGAGTTTAGCGCCAACATACTTTGCCTGGAAGTTTCTAGTGATCCTGAAGAATTTGTCAAGGTCTTTTACTGTACATGAATAGAATGAATGAAACTTTTAACCCTCTGGTATTTTTCATTTGGGGGTCAGACTTGTGTTGTTTGCGATCAAAAGTGTGTGTCTATTTTGTACTCTTGATATTTTGGAGTGTCATCCCCTCATCGCTGTGCACTTTTTTTCTGCATTGTGAATGATTTGTAGATTGTACACAAAAAAATCTGTATTTTTTTTTTGCGTATTTTCCATTCATTTCCAATAGCGGTCATTTTTGACCACGAACAACAGAAGTGTGACTATTTTTTTAAACAACCATTTAGCTTTTTCAAATCAAGTCCACAATTTTTTTTGTGGTCACATAGTGATTGCCATAAAAGTCATAGAGTTTTGTACCATTCCGATGAAGTAGCGATTTAAAAAAAAGAAAAAAAATTCAATCTAAAATGACCGAACAACACCAGAGGGTTAAATATTAGTATTATATTTAAAAGTCATCAGTTCTAATTTTTTTTAGCAATTCATAACTTGACAATCGACATCTAAATAAATTGTTTCTGAGGAAAAAATCCCTTCAAATCCGCCTATTCAGATTGTTGGAATGTGAAGGGTTAAATTAAAGACACCCATATTAGAATTCTCCCGCCTAACGCTTTCAGCTCTGTGATTGGTGGTCCAGCTACAAAATTACAGATGGCCAAAAAATAGTAAATCAATGAGAGACTAATTTTAAATGACAGCAAAATCAATCATATCTCCCCCTAGTGGGGTTTGACATCACTAACGTTATGACAAGTTCCGCTATTATGAAGCCGTTCACGGTGGAAGCCGCGAGTAACATTACGGAGGAGGTCATTGTTGCTGATTTATAGTCGTTTTCAAGATTCTTTTTTAAAGAAAATTTGGGAGTTAATAAATAACAAATAAAACTTTGTGCATATTTGTTGTAATTCTACACAATAATGACATATAAGTTTGTGTTTTGTTACTTTGGATAAGAAACAAAGTCTCATCCTTTACATTCTGTCAATTTTATCGGCAAATACTAAAAATAAATGCCATTTTGAGGCTCTTTGATGTAGTGTGACAAATCACTGTAAAGGCGCTTCAGTTAAAGCATGGAGTGCGAGTGAGCGTGATCATCTCTTCCTCTTTACTAACGTTGCTGGTTATAACTTGAAATAAACATGAATGAACATCTCATGGCTCATGTAATCGCTCAATAAGTGTTTCAACCACAGAAAGACGTCAATAAAATAGTTTGCAAACATAACGTCATGCAGCCAGCAATTCATTTACCTCAGGCAAGTCATTCAGTGTCCAAAGCTCGCTAGAGAAATTAACTCTAAAGAAGAGCATTTCTCTAAACATATGCCCTATATTAGCATATATATTCCTTATATTTTATTTAACCTGCTAGTCATGTCTTAATTATTGAATGTATATTTAAATTAATCTGCCATGAAACAGACACTGTATGATTGGTGAGGCCTATATACCAACAGTGAATTGCAATAGAAACATAATTTTATAATTAGATTTGTAATTAATGTATGCATACATTGCATTTTTTTATTTTATTTGAGGGTTTATTATATCTAAGAATAAATTACAGTTTAATTTGGGCTCTATTGTTAATTGTAACCTTTACTATTATAGTAATGTGCAAGTAGCGCTCCCTATATAGGATGCTCCCTATATAGGATACGTCATTAGCTGAGATGGATATTTTTTATCTTAAAAAAAATGTTAATTAAAAATTACTTTATTTAAGGACAGAACCACAACTTGTTCAGTAAACCACTGTTTAATAAAAAAGAAGCAATTTTATGTTTAATCCCCCTTACCGAAAATACCATGACTTCAAAACCGGGGTACGTACCGAACCATCATTTTTGAGTACCGTTACACCACTACTGTCTAGGGTGCTGTAGTGTCTGTCACTAATTTGCATTGCTGTGAGCCTTGTCATAATGTGTTATTAAATGCTTACTTTGTTTTGTTGGTTTTGTGTGGTAGGAGGGGTGTCTGTCATACGTTTTGCAACCCGGCTTGTTGTCACCATACTCTGCTGAAGTGCACAAACCGATTTTGTGATGATGCAATTATTTGTAATGAGGATTTGCATTTTACTTAAATGAGCTGTTTTATTTTGATGGTCACTCTCTCTGTGCTGTTTTTCTTGTTGCTTTTCTAAGAGCTGGAATTGTCTAGAAGAGGACATAGTAAGCTCCCCGGATGAGTAAAGAAGGTGAGAAGGCTAAAGTTTAAGGGTACGTTTATACGTCACTGATGTGCTAAAAATGGAAAAGTTTTTCCTTTGTGTTTTTGAAAAGTTTTGCATATAGACGACAACATTGTCGAAATGTTCGACATTCAGTGAAAATGACTGAAAAAAGTTGTATTATTCATGCCAGGCCAGTAGTTGGCGATGTCGAACATTAGCGCATGTGCAAAGACTTGTTTCTATAGACTGAACAAATAATATGCGCGTATGACTTCACCGTTTTCACAAATTTGCATTTTCATAGTCTACAATGGAGACGTTAACGGCATCGTTTTCAAAAACATGCACTTTGAAACCCGTTTGAATTTTCAGGTCCCCAAATCGCAGCTGACATGTAAAGGAACAGCCAGAAAAGTTTTCTGTTTTTAGTTGAAAATAGTCTTGTGTAAACACCCCCTAAGAGTCACAGTTCGTTACTGGACCTTGATTAGCAGGTGTGTTTAATTGGTGTTGGAGCTAAACTCTGCTGGAAGGTGGACACCCCGAAAAATTGCGTCTTAATTACAAGTATCTCTCTGCGTCCTCACTTACTTTGAAGTAGATTGCGTTCACCAAGACTAATATGGTGTTGGAGTCTATTGAGCCTTCTGGCAGGGTGTCTTTTATCCGGTTCTCAGTCTTGTTGGCTATCCATTCATTTATCGTCATCCTTGAAACTTCCGGTTTCCCCTGGAGGACAAAACTTGAATGTTTAGTACAGGGTCAAGGATCAGATGCGCTACATTTAGACACTTATGCCAATGTAACCTTAAAATCGAGAGGCAGCAACTTGGCTCCGTAGACCATCTCACTGGTGTGCTGGTAGGACTCATTAAAAAGCATAGATTTGTCTCCAAACAAACGGTTTGCGGAGATCAGTTCTGTTGTCTCATGCTTTTTGCGGTATAGTCGACAGTTCAGCTTGGCGAAGAAGAAATGGACCTGGTCTGAGGTCTTCTCCTTTATCGTATCGAACTGAAACACCTACATGTGAAGAATATATTAGTTATTGACCTGCTAAGTGATCGATCTTTATTTGGAGTTACAATTATTTGACCTTACTTTCATGAGCTGCTCCAGTGTGGTGTTACAAGCCCCTAGCTTCGTCATGGCGAAAGCTGTTGAGATACTAATTGGCGACAGAAAGATGTTTTCATCGTTGGACTTTCCCTCGGCAAGCTGCTTGAAAAACGAGAGGGCGAAGCGGCTGTTGGCTTTGGACAATTCCCACACTCGAGGGTTGGTGCCAGCTGGGATCTTCTCTGGTTTTTCAGTTGGATGTGTTTCAGAATCCGGGCTGCGGTAGATGCACATTGGCTCCAAAGGTAGATCTTTGGGCTTTGCATTGCAGATATCTTTGGCTGCCTGGACCGAACAGAGGGCCAGTACCCACAAAGCCCACGTACATGCCAACAACTTCATCCTGCCCAAGATTGGGAAATGGGAAACCAGCCCAGGAAAAGCAGTTCAGTGCAAATTCTGGTGGTCAGACAAGTCATGGAATCGTGCGATACAATGTCTGTAGTGGGAAGTGTGTGTTTTTTTATTTGTACTTTAATTAGACTTAAAACAGTTAGTAAAGAGCAAACTTTTCCATAACGCTACTTTTCTACAAATAAATATAGTTAACAGCTTTCACTTTAAAATCCAGAGTGGTTACAAAGTTACTCCATTTGAAGTTTAATTTACCATAGCCGAGTCAATTTCGGCATACACTGCTAGTCACAAATTAAGGTTTAATCTGAATTAAATGTCCACTACCAATGGTTGATTGATTTATAAAGATCCACTTTATACTAGGATCGTGTCTAATTGAGGTGAAAAGTTTGTACAACTGTTCCAACAAAACTGCTTTCTAGATCAGGATTTTCAATGCATTTAAACATTTTTCACGTACCTGACGTTGTCGTATTTCCTTGTTAAAGACCAGTTTTGGGGCTAAAGACCAGTTTATGTTGTACTAAAGTAAGGAGCAAAGTGAAGAAAACACTTCTCTGGATAGGTCAGTGCCCTTAAGAGCACTGGAGTGACTAGAGACAAAAATCTACTCAGGACAACCTTTGTGCTATTGATTCATTTTGTTAGGTTAGCCACAAGCAAAGCAAATTTGACTAATAATGGTGAATCTGTTCAAAACATTGTTAAAAAGAGGTGAAACTATTTTGTTTGTTATCAGCTATTGTTATTAAAGACTCTTTTGTTCAGTGTTAAATTAATGGTTGTTGCATAAAAGTGCATGAATTTGTACAAAAGACCAGAGAGGAAAATGGTTTACAATATCATTTAATCATAATCCATGCCAGAATCACTGCTGCTGCTGCACATAAAATACATTTCTTATTAAATAATATTTTCAAGTTTTTCAATATCTAATTCAAAAATCCAGTTAGTAATACCCCCTGCCCTCTCAAAGAAGAAGAGCAATTGTATTATACAAAAATGCAATCCAAAATTTCACACAGTGAATTCTTGTACAAAGTGAAAAAAGGTATTACAACTACATCCACATTGGAGAAATATACTAAACATTCCTTAATGGAGTATAATATACAAACATTTATTTTCTTATTCAGGTTGAAGTTAAAGTGTACCTTAATGTAAGCAGTCTATCATGAGATAACATGGGAGAAATCATCAAAAACAATTATATATCCTGATGTTAGGAATCATGGTGAAAAGACCACAATGCAACACCCCATCTCACGAAAAAGTCAATACAGGAGTGCAAGCAATGAGTTACAGTGGGAACAAACATACAGAAATGAGGTGGACAGCACTCTCTTTGGACACACTTGAACACAAACACACAATCATTCATTTCAAACTACATCCTACAGCTAGAAGCTAAAACACTAAAACCTGTACTTGTGCACAACCCTTATGTTTTCAAGTAACTTAATGACTTCTCATAAATCTACTCAACGTGCTGCAACTTCAGAAAACACATGCAAATAGAAAAAGCACCAGCAAATCAAGAAAACATCATCAGTTTGACAGCAGGTGCTGCAAATGCTCACAACACGACCAAATAAAGAATTTTATTTGCAGCGCGTTTCTTTGATTGGTTGTGTTGTGAGCATTTGCAGCGTGTGTGTTGTCAAATTGATGAAGTTGTTTTCTTAATTTGCAGGTGGGTTTTTTTCTATTTGCAGCGCGTTGAGCTCTCTCGGCCACCGTAACTATGTGTGTATGTGCACAGCATATACTTTCCCCTCAAGGCCAGGGAACAATATGTACCATTAATGATTTATCTGTGTGGAAAAACATACTACAGTCTTGGGTGTTTCAGGCACCAAGTGTCAAAATTCAGATTTCAATCATTCCTATCTTCTCATTTTATGACGTTTGACACTAATTAGTACTACATTCGTATTCAAAACCAACCCTGAACGTAGTCAACAATCACAATAAAATGAGCTCCAGTGAGGAAACACGGAGACTGTTCATTAGACACTGATCATAAATACAATTTCTTTTTCTTTTTTTTTTTTTTTAAGAAGTCAGCACTGGGTGGATGAACCTCACGAAAAAGTCATATTTCACCTCAAAATCAAAAGAATAAAAAAAATTATAATTGCATTTAAATTAAGCACATCTTTAGGACCATTAAGATTGTTTTTGTTTTCATTGAAACAATTAAGCCAATTTTCCCCTCCAAAATGTCATTACCACAATGCAGAAAAAAACTCATTCTCATTACAGTAATACAGTAACAAAAACAGTTCTTTAAATTAAAAACATGCAGTATTATATGCATGTATGTATGTGTGTATATATATATATATATAATTATGCATTACAAAGTATTATTCTGTGCTTAATATTATGAAAATAATATTCACAATGCAAAAACATAAAGGTTCCAAAAATGGGCTTCATTCCATGAGATATATTTATACACATACTTGTGGTGAAATATGACCGTTTTTTTTGACGAGTTTCATGAGATTCACCTGGGTAAACATTTTGGTTCCCTTTTCAAATCAATAGTGATTCCCATTGGCTCATGGGTGATCATGTAAATGTTGCTTTGCAACAATAGTTTAAAACAGTTGGTTTTCAAATGGCTGACTTCAAATACAAACTTTCAAAACCACAATAAATTGAGCCCTTCTGCAAAGGTTTATACAATCAGCGTTTCGTTCAAGGAAACATTGAAAATGAGTTTCGGTTAGGTACAAAGGAACTGTTGAGGATTTTATTAATGGCTTTTATGAGAGCAGTAAACCTTGATTTGTTTATCTGTATCATCAGACCTCCAATAATGTCATTAAATATTAAAATAAGCCTTAATACTTTCCTCTCTAAATAGCGATATCAAACTATGACAAAATACACAGACTGTCCTCGTTTTTCTGTTCCAATTTAGACTCTTCAAAGAACCCTAACATCAAAAGACCACCATCACACCATGAAACATGCTTAAATACTCAAGTTCAATTGCATGAAATGTACACAAAATGGCTACAAAAACAAATGACCTGGCAATAAATTCCTTTATCTCAGAAAGGATAGGCAGTAATCCGTTTGGCGGTCTAAAAGCCTGCAGATTCGAAGAGATCATTTAATATAAATGCTGACTTTGAAGACTGAGAGGAGTTGAATATTATAGATAGAGATGGTTCGGCTACATCTAAAATACCCAACGCGTGAATAACTGCAGATCTGCAAAAAGGCACAGTCTTGAAGTCTTAAAGTCTTGAAACTGGTTAAGCGACAATTGCAGTCCTGAAGGAAAAAAAAAAAAAAAAAAGAGCGAGTAACGCGATGTTCACACACAAATACACTAAAATCAACCCTGAGATAAAGACAGAGGTGTTCCTTTAAAACAAAAAATAAAGATGATGTTACCCAAGTGGACCTAGGACTTATACTAGATCCTACAAATTCCTACCAGAGCGTTTAACATACCTTCGCCTTTTTGAACTCGTAATCCAATTCGTGGCTTTAAACCAACAACAAAAATCTTTCTCTGTTTCTTTTGAACAAATTTTGGGTAAATTCGTGCTATCCTTAAAGTCTACACTGTGCATCACAGTGGTTACCTAAACGAAGTTGCAATATCCAATCTTGACGATTGCTTAAATGTTGAGCTCAGACCAAAGCGACAGTAATAACGAAAATAAAAACAATAGAAATCAACTCCAACTTAAGAGAAGTTCCACCAAAATAGGTGCTTTTAAGGTTGCGGTAGGATGTCTCAAGAGACCATTATATGCTAGCAGGAAGAAAAAAAAACTACTACAATAAACTAACCTCCAACTTAAAACTAAATTCTTGAGGCATGACTGCTTCCTAAGTGATGAGATCTCACCACCAAGGAAGCAACGACATGGAAAAATGCAAGTTTGAGATGTACAGTGCAAGTGTTTTGATGAGCCTAATACATTACTGATCACGGAAAATATGATGTGTACTTTAATAACAGTTGCCAATGTCTGTGCAGAATCTGTGAGCACATTATCCTCATATTGCGTCTTCACTTGTTTATTTCGGCTAGCTTGATAATGCTTTCAGATGTTCTTCCAAAATCCGCACAGAAAATGTGAAAAACGTCTGCAGATTCAACAAAGTTTTAACTTTTATTCCCAACAACATCGGAGAACTGGCTGGTGGCGTGACTCTAAAGATCACTGGGATTGACGTAACTACAAACTCAATTTTTGGTTTGGTCGGAAACCAAACCAATTCTGAATAATGTGAAATATGGAAGTATTCATGCTTAGTGGTTTGGCTCTCTTAAAGGAATAGTTCATCCAAAAATGAAAATTGTGTGAGATTTTACTCATCCTCAGGCCAGTTTGATTTTCATCAGAACAGATTTGGAGAACTTCTCTAATTTATCCTCTGCAGTGAATGGGTGCCGTCATTGAGAGTAAAATATCATTACTGTGATGTTTTTATCAGCGGTTTGGACTCTCATTCTGACGGCACCCATTCACTGCAAAGGATCCATTGGTGAGCAAGTGATGTAATGCTAAATTTCTCCCAATCTGTACTGATGAAGAAACAAATTCATCAACATCTTGGATGGCCTGAGGGTGAGGAAATTTTCAACAAATTTTTATTTTTGGGTGAACTATTCCTTTAAAAGGTAAGGAGTCCAAAACAGTCTCCTGCAAGACACTTGACAGTAAAGTGAAGTACAGGAGCTTAGTTAATCCCCCATCAATATTAGAATGAATTTGAGGAGAACTGTGATGTACATGCATGAGCCCAGCCTGTAGGGGAATTCGATTGAACCGGCCCATCAAAACAACGTTCTTCAAACTTGAAAGACGAAACGAAGAATGAAGGAGAGTCTTGAGGTGGCTACAACTGGATCAAAGTCTTTCGGCACATCTTTCAGGATGAAAAACTCCACATATACAAAAAAATCGTGGATTGATCTGAAGATCGTAATTTCACTGACAAAGTGAAGAGTAGTATATACGCATTCTTACAACAGAATGCATCTTTACGCATTACTGTAGCGGCTTTCTTTCTATAAAAAAATATAACTATACCCACTATGAAAAAAAACAGCGTGACCTGGATTGTTATTTCTATTTATGTCCACAAAATATAGAGGCAGATTAATGCATCCCTGATGACATTACAACAAAAGATGATGATTACAGGCGGTTCAATCGAAATCCCACAGGCAGTGTAGTGTAATACACTGAAAACAATACAAGGGCCCCATTAAGACTGGAAAAGGCTTTTGGGTTTGTTGGCATGAGCGCAGTTGAGGTCAAATCAGTGAACATTTAGGTTTGTGAGAATTTCTATAACGCACAATAATGTGCATCGCAGCAATCACACTGTAAAAGCCTAAATGAAGCCTAATGTATGAAACACGATACATAGTTTTGACTGTCATAAAACAAAATGCTTTCTATTGGTTGAATATGCAGCAAGCCTGCAGTAAAAAATGAATTTAAACATAGTAAACCCTGACACAAGTGTAAACGCCAGACCAAGCACGAACAAGAGTGTAACTACCGAAAACGTAGCACATTTTGATAAAAATGCAATTTTGAAACCCAAGAAAGTGGATTAACGATAGTTAAACAACATAAGTGAAATCATCTTATATGTTTTTCAGATTCACCCTGATTTACGCGGCAATGAAAAAAGACTAGTCTCAGGAAGAAAGTGAACAAAGAACAGGAAGAAAATACATGACAGCAGATACTGCTGTAAAAAGAAACTAAATCAGGGCATGATTGTGCAAGTCTGTTGAGGCACATGCACAGTGAATCCCACCCAAACTCCACCCATATTGGCCTGATGGGTGTTTGAGGCTCAGTGAGGAAGCTAAACGCTCAGGATTAAGCGAATGAATGGCGTGTGTCATACAGCGATGATGGAGCATCCGGCTCTAGAGGGTTTAACCTGGCATAAGAGAGGAGTGGTGGTCGAGGAAGGGGAATCTGAGGTAGAAAGAGCCGACTAGGAGTGGACGACTGCTGTAAAAAGAAACTAAATCAGGGCATGACTGTGCAAGTCTGCTGAGGCACATGCACAGTGAATCCCACCCATATTTGCCTGATGGGTGTTTGAGGGTCAGCGGAGGAAGCTAAGCGCTCAGGATTAAGCAAATGAATACAGCGATGATGGATCATCCTACTCTAGAGGGTTAACCTGGCATAATAGAGGGGTGGTGGTTGCGGAAGGGGAATCTGAGGTAGAAAGAGCCAGCTAGGAGTGGACGACTCCGTTCTTGGGCAAATCAGGGCTGCTGGCCACCTGTTCGGAGGACAAACTGAGAGATGACGTCTTGCTGGTCAGTGAGGACATGCTGCTGCTGACGAAACCACGGTCCTGGACCAAACTGATGGAGCCGTTTGAGCCCTCACTACAACCAAAGAGAGAAAGAAGATGAGAACTACTGTGATGGACACAAGAACCCACATGTGACCATACATGTATTTGAATTTCTTTCAGTGGATGTAAACCATGTACTTCTGAAAGCAAATCTTGACTTTAAATAAATAGCACTTACACACTAAAATTATATATTTTTTCTCTTTTGATTTAACACATTTTAGTGAGATTCACTGTTATATTTCACCTAAGAGTGAGTGGATGCTCATCTCGCTGTAGAGTGTGTTCGTCTTGTCCATTTTCGACTGAGACCCGCTTGTACTTGCCATCGTGGTTCTCCTGAAGGCAAAATAATTCATGCTCAAGCACAGCAATGTAAATCACATGACTTTTAACACTTCCTGAACTTCACTGAGTGAACCGAAATATAAAAGCTACTGAAATTACACTCCACAATACCAGTTTGAAAAAAAACAATACTTTTACAAATGACCTTGCTTAAAAATGGATTTTCTGCTCAAGAAATGGCCACAGTCGCATTAATTATTCCCTGGAAATAGAATAGATTAATTATGAATAATTCATAGAAGCTCTATAAATTGCATGTCTCGCTTACCATGGCCATCTCATGTGTCCTCATGATGATATCTCTCTCCACCTTGTGCAGTTCGAGACTCAGCTGTTCACTGGACAAATTCCCTGATGACCAGTCCACTCGAGACGACTGGGACATGACTGAGCTTGGGTTCTGCCAAAAGAGAGCGTGAGAAGCTGAATCATTAAAACAACAACAACAAAAGACCTTATAAATATAATCTTTATTCTTTACATTCATTTCTTGATGTTTTTATAGAATAACAATACTAAAAATTAAGATTTTATATATATAATAAAATTAAATACAATTTAAAAATGAAATGAAAAATGTCAATTATGTGTATTATACACGCACACTTTATTTAAATTGCTATATATATATATTTTAAATATAATTATATTAAAATATACACACTATAATCTAAAATATTCTGTACATAAATAATATTTAAAAAATAAAATATATAAAATATACTGTATACAAAAATAATTTCATATATACTGAAGTGAATATTTTATACTTTGGTGTCATTTAGTTTTATTCAATAGAGAAATAATATATATATATAAAAAAAAACTTCAATATAATATACATAATGCATTTTTATACAATTTATATTTTCATTTATATAATTGATATATTTTAATATGTATTATATTGTTCATTTTAAGTGAATATTTTATGTAGTAAATATTTGATATTTTGGTGTCGTTTAGTGAACAGGCCTTTAAAATGACATCCATCAGGACGGACAGTCTCACCTCCAGGCCACGACTCTGCGTCTGCTGGCTGATTTGCAGGTTGACCTGCTGTAGCTCCATCCTCAGCTGCTCACGCGCTTGCACAGCAGGGGATAAACTGGACCTGCGGGATAAGCGGAAAATATTTCACACATTTAGGACCTTTCTAGAATAAAACTACACTGAAACCAAGTGATTACTTGTAAAGGGTGGGGCTGGGCGACATACCGCTCGCTGAAGTGCCCCTGAGACTTTTGGTGCGGCTGGTAAGAGTCGCCACTCCACCCACTGTGATTCGCATAGGTGTAGTCAGCTTAAAAGAGAAGACAAAGACCATTCAAAAACACTGAAATAATCATGTTGTCCCATTAGCAATGCTGAGACAAAGCAGGAGGAGTTTACCAGCAGAAGCGGTGTGTTTGGCCGAGTTTGGCAAGGGTGGCATGGGACTGTTTGGCGGGTAGCCCGGTTTAGACGTGCGTGAGATGGCTCCAAAACGAGACACGGTCGGCAGGGTGCCAAAGGGAATGATGGGGTCGTCGTCTTTGACGTCTGCCGCTCTGCGTTGAAGCTCCAAGCCGTGTGCTCTCAGACTTTTGCCTTTGTCTAAATTTTGCTGCAGGGAATGGTTACAATTAGCTCAAGAATCCTATATTAATATGCTAATTATTCAGCATACTATTATTTAAATACATCCAACTTCACTGTTTAATATTTAAGAATATTATCCAAGCATTAACATGGAATAAGCCTGAACCGTTAACAAAAATCATTGGTCATCTGTAGGGCTGGGTAAAAAAATATCGATATCTCGATTTTAATCGATTCTCATTTTTACGGAACGATATCGATTCTTAAATCTCAAGATCGATTAGTCTAGCATGTTTTCAGTTAATGGATGGAACATTGAAGGGCACTTCCCATCCAATATATCACAATAAGCATTGTGCTTTGGTACTTTTAATATGAAACAAAGTCTCAGATTTCAAATTCTAGCCATTGTATTGCAGTATTTAAACAATAAATGCCGTTTTGCCACTGTTTAATGTGGAGTGACAGATCGCTGTAGCGCCTCAGTTCAACAGACGCAGCAGCGCGAGGCGCACGTGAACTGATCATCTCCTCCACATTAATACCAGTTTCAGCACAAAATAAACATGATTAAACATCCGAAGGTAAGTTAAAAGAAAGGGTACAACTTTACAATCCGTATCCTGTCTCATGTAATCGCTCAATCAGTGTTTCAGCCGCACAAAGACATCAATATAACGTCTTGTAAACTGTCACACAAGGTCACATTTACCTCAGAAAAACATATTCGGTGACCATAAACTCATTAGTAAGCTAGAAAAATAAACTGTAGAGAGGGGCATTTTGCTAAATATATGCACCCTATAACATATTCATTATCATTTTTACTGTTCTTCAATGTTTCATTTATGTTTGAATAAATCCATCAAGTTTTTGACAGCCACCATTTAAATGTTTATATTTCAAAAAACGAATTGAAGTAGAAGTATTATTATGTAGCTAACTGTAACTTTATTATTTTAAAAACTTCATTAAGTGTAATTTTAGCAGTTGTATATTAGCCTACAAATCAGTCAATTTTAACCTTCAATATTATAGTAATGTAGTACCAACAGACTCTCATGTATATTTTACAGCATTAGTTGAGATTTTCTTTCCTTGAGAAAATTTGGCATGTACTGTACCTGATATGTATCCAAAATAATCGATATTGAATCTAATCAAATCGAATTAGTAATCAAATCGCAAGCTTGTGAATGAGAATCGAATCGTGAAATTTGTGTCAAAACCCAGCCCTAGTCACCTGTAATATATGTTTATATGGTAAATATATAATATATGTTTATATGGTACGTTTATATGATACTTATAAAAAGATAAGTATAGCTTTTTATTTCTCCTCTTTCCTACTACTTGTTTCGCTTCTGTTTCAGTTTTTATAACCATTTCTTACTATGTGTAAGTAAGTTGTTGTTTTTTAGCATGTAAGTTTGGCAGTGTTATTTTGTAGGATTACTGATAAACTACTGTCATTTGATTTGTATTATTTGTATTTGTTATTTATTTTAATTTTAGTTAAATGATGTCTGAATTTATTATGTCTGTATAGGTCTTTTATTAAGTTTTTAGTTTTATTTAATTTGAGTTATTTTAATACTTCAACAAACTAAATGGAAATGAAAATATATATATTTAATTTATAAATGTGTATGTACATATACAGTATATACAGTATGTGTGTGTAGTTGTACATACACATATGTAGTAGTTTTTTTGGCGTTTGGCTTAGTGTTATGTTAGAATCATTATTATACTCTTATACCTTTTGTTCTTTAATATTTTGAATTGTTTTTAGCTTTATTTTTTGTTTTTCATTTAAATGTTAAGTTTTGACATTTTGTTGTATGCATTTGTCATTTTTATTTAATCTCTTTATTTTTAAAATGTGTATAGGTAGTATTTATAAAGTTTTAGCTTTTAGTTTTGGATCTGTTTTTAGTTGTTTTAATACTACAATTGATTGCTTCTGTTGTCCTCATTTGGAAGTCGCTTTGGATAAAAGTGGCTAATAAATGACTAAATAAATAAATAAAATAAATAAATAAATATGGCCTTTGGTTTGTCAACAGTATTTGTACAAACTAGACAGAATAAACATTGATAACCTTTTGTAATGGAACAGTCACTGAAAACAGCACAGATCTGAATGTGTGGGAGAAACGGGACAAAATCCCCTTGCAATGTGAAGCCTTTCAGCTTTAATGAACTCAAATTTATTTTTAAATGCAATTTTTGACCATAGAAAATTCTTAATTATGATGCTAAGTTGCTATAGTTGGTTGCCAGTGCATGCTATGTGGTTGCTAGGGAGTTCTGTGTAAAAATAAAATAAAAACTACATTTCTTTAACATTCTGGTCTTTAGATTTAGCTCAGGTTCCTCCTTCAGTGTATGCCTTTGGCCATGTTTTTGTTAAAAATACAACTGCTTGAGAATCCCTTATGTCCCTATAAACATGCAAAACTTACTGTGTCCATGCTCTCTTTGGACTTTATATCCTTGCCGCCAATGTAGGAACCGAAGGGGTCACATGACCAAGGTGAATATGAGCTGGAGTAGTCTGGTTCCCGGAAATGTCCAAAACCATGGGAGTTCTCTTCCATGTACTGCGAACGACACGGATATGGCAACTCATTACCAAACACTACCTACTAGGGCTGCATGATTTGGGGCGGAAAACTCTAATTGCAATTTTTCTGATAAGATATGATAAAACAAAAAAAAATCCAGATTTGCTGTGCTAGTCTGTAGGACTGCACAAATTGTCCCAACATTTTGTGATTTATATTTCAATATAAATATACATTAACACAACAACGATAATAATTTTGTTTTCTTAAAATTACAATACAATATAAATATGAATATAAAATAATAATAATAAAAATAAAATAAGAAATTACTATAATTTTACTAAAACGGAGTATTTCATTATTATTTTTACTACGTTTTAAAATTACAATACTAATATGTATAACAATAATAATATTAACAATAAATAATTAAAATGGATATAATTTTACTAAAATAGATTTCAGAAAAAATATAATAATAATAATAATTTTACAGTACCAGTTATACCATTATTATTATTACTATTATTAATTAATGAATTATTTATTTTTTTAATTACAAGACTAATTTATGTCAGTCTTCATTTCTTTTTCAAACATTAAACAATTGTTTTAGATTTATTACACGGCTCTGTGGAATACTTGATTCTGACTGATCAGTCGCGACATTCCGAGGTATGTTATCCCTCAATAACAACCGGTAAAATCTGATAACAGGCTCATCCGGGTAACTGAAGTCGGCACTATACGCTTGATAGGAACAGTTTTTCTTTGTGGAAGCTTTGCGTTTGGTTAGCTAATAAAATATTAAAACTGAATTCAGTATTATGTGTACAATTATTATGTCATCCTGGTATCGCGGATTCGCTCTCTCGTTTCAAACAAATGCAGCTGCTGCCATTTCATTACGATTGTTTTGTACACTGTAATGGACTATAAGCTAAGTAACAAACTGGTAAGATTTTAAAACATTTTCGTCTTAAATCAATATCTTTTATCGCCTTAATTATTTATGTGGTGAAATGTTGTGTAATAAGTGGTATGACTGCACCGTATCCCTTAAATGTCCGTCTAGTTTGAACTTGCAGCTTGCTTGCAACTGCTGTCTTCACGGAAGCTTTGCATTCAAATATTTAAACTCAAATCAATTTCGTGTCTAATTATTTACTTGTGTGGCAAGTAGCCGTGTATTAAACGAGTTAATGTACATCCAGCCAGTTGTTATCACTGAATAGTCCCCTTCAGGGTGATAAAAGATCCTTATTCTGCAATAACAACCGGCTGGATGTACATTATCCCTTACTAAACATGCAGCCCTTCTACATTTTGCTTAGTATTATTATTTCTATGAAATATTGTTTTTCTGGCTTACATGGCTCTGTCCCCTCATGTCCTGAGGGTAGCTGGGGTCGTGCGAGTGTGAGGAGCTAAAGGTCGATGGGGAAACGACCTTTCTGTCCTCCAGCTGGGCCATGATCTCCTGTCTTCGACGGTGCAGGTAGTCTAGGGAAGGCTGAGATCGCGTGTAGGCATTCTGTGGACACAGTATTAGGTTATGTTTTCTTTAGGTTTGGAATGAGACCCATGCAGTTCAAATATTACAGGTAATGGATCTTACCCGTGGGTAATTCCTGATCTGACTGGAGTGGTTATAACTGTCTTGTTCTGGCAGGTGCGAAGCGCTTTGGGGTGGTAGCTGCGGGGGAACGTCCGGACTCCTACGGACCAGTTCCTCCCGTGGGGGGAATGTTTGGGGATGGGAGTAGGCTGAGTGGCGACGGCCATCGTGGTGTGAAGGGTATCCGTAATGGGAGCTTGGGTTGGCGCATTGGCGCTCTGAGGTGTAGGAACTGGAATAGGAATCCGGATATGGTGGCATGCCTGGATCTGGAGCGGGGTGACGGGTGTAGCGTGGGTGCACATGATGGTGAGGATAAGGATTACCTGTTGAAATTAGGAAAATGAACATTTTTAGAAGTGCAAAGATCTAGAAGTGCCAAACGTAATGTGTTTGTTCAAAAAAATAAGTGTTTTGCTACCTGCAGGGTACTGGGAGGATTCATATTGGGTGGAGGGTGGCAGAGGGCCTCGTGTCTCAGAGTAATACAGTTCAGAGTGGTGTGGTGAATACATGTGAGGAACTCTAGGCACCGCAGGCATGTGCTTCTGTCCGACTGCGCCATCGCCGGCCACCCTGGAGTGGGAATTTATGAGCATCCCTGGTTTTGGGATGGATTCCAATCTGCAAATCAAGAGATAAAGTGCATGATCACTCGGCAGTCTCGAACAAACAATTTTGACTCAAATTAACATTTCATGTCCATTTATGTATTTATTTATTTGACAAGTAGCCATGTAGTAAGTTGAATAATGTATAGCAGTGTCGTTATTGTTAACTAAAACTATTAAAAAAAACAATAGTTTTGATTAGTTTAAAATTTTAGTATTTAATTATTTTATTTCATTAAGTTGCCAAGGCAACATTTCTAATTTTCAGTTAAGTTTGTCATCTAATAATGATATCTTGTATAGAAAGTATAAATATTAGATGACAAACTTAAACTGAAAATAAGTTGAAGTACTAAAATTAGTAAAAAAATAAAATTAAATTAAAGCAAAATAGTAATATTAATAAAAAAAACTAATTAAAGGGGTCATATGACGCAATTTCAAATTTTCCCACATGTGGTTGCTGCAAGCCCGCCGGCCATTCCTCACTCTAGCCCGTCGGCCGCCGCTCACTCAAGCCCGCCGTGTGTGACGCCGATAAACACATTGCATTACACCAAATACACAACATAATATTCTTTTTGGCAACGTCATATGACCCCTTTAAAAATGATAAAAGCACACAAAATCACTAAACCTGAAATGAAATAAAGCTAAATATAAATATAAAAAAAATACTAATAAAAATGGTAATAGCACATAAAATTACTAAAACCTAAACTAAGCTAAAATTAAACCTGAACATAAAAAGCAAATAAAAAAATATAACTACTATAATAGTATATAAATAATATAAAATGACACCGATGTATAGACAATTGGTCAGTATCAAAGTTAGTAAAAAAAATTATCACTTAAAAAAAAGAAAAAAAAAGAAGAGAGAGTGCTGCTGCCACTGCTAATACAGTTATAACAGTAATTATCCTATAAAAATAATAATTAGCCATTTCATTCTTTCTAAAAACAGGTCAAATCATGAGACTATTTTGATTTATTTAGATCCATTCATTATTTAAAATTAACAGTTACTTAATAATAATAATAATATTTTATAGTTAATATTTATAATATTTTTCATTTTTACATAGCTCTTAATAAATTAAAATATACATTATACTTTACGAAAGGGATCCTTGGCAAGGGGATCTTCTCATTTGGCAATATGTGATGTAAAAAGGTTTGAAATCCCCAGTGCTAATATATGATTTATTCCCCCCCACTAATAAACAAATAAACTCACGACTCTGGAGGTGAGCCAGGCGCACTGAGGCTCCCAGAATTCATCTTCTCCGGTTTGTGTGTTGGGTCATATGACGGGTCCGAGCCTCTGGAAACCAGGTGGGCCAAAGTGGATTCAGGTCCTGTTGCTAGGATGATGTTAGTGATGGAGGAGGGTTTGCGTGGGAGTCCCTCCATCGGCAGCCCCTCGTCAGGCAACAGACCGGTGCCGAAGTCCATCTCATTCAGCTGGGTCAGGGACTGGCTGAGCTGGCGCCTCATTCCCAAACGTTTATTCATCTTACGGTATCTGTTGTCAGAAAAAAGGTGGTGAAGCTGATACTAATGCTTATTATGCTTTACTTAATGTACTTCAAGTGCTGCTTACTTTTCAAGCTCTTCCTGAGAATGAGCGAAGGTGCAACTTGCCCCGCGAGGACAGCCGCCTTTTTGTTTCATGTCCCGACACATGTAGGTCTTATATTTGCTGTGCTGAGGTGGCTGTGAACAGGAAGTGAGATGTGCTTACTCATTTCTGTGCAAGTTATTTGAATGACCTGATAAAAAAAAAAAATAAATAAATAAAAATAAATAAAGCTAAATATAAATATATGTATAAAAATAAAAAAATAAAATAAAAATGACAACACAAAGTTTGAACTGAACTGAAAATATAAAAATAAAAGCTAATTCAAATATTAATAAATACTATAATAGTATATAAACATGAAAATATACCTGATGTATAGATAATTAGGAAATAAATAAATTTGCAAGTTTAAATTCTTTAAATTCTTAAAAAAAAAAAAAAAGGTCAAAAATCATGAGGCTATTTTGATTAATTGTTTGATTAATTTTATTAATATTACTTTAAAATTAAATATTAATATATTGAAACGTTTGTGATCTGGTTACCGACCTGTTGCTGAGCACCTCATTTCTACATAAATTAATGCTAATAAATTAAAGCTAAACAGAAATAATAATTAAAAAAAGTACAAAAACAAAGCACAAAGTTTCTGAAACTTAAAATTAAAACTGAAAATATAAAAGCTAATTTAAAATATTAATAAATACAACAACAGCATATAAATAACACTAAAATAACACATGTATAAACACTTAGTCATTATAAAAAAAACCCTCACTGAACTGTAAAAATAAATAAATAAATAAAAGAAGTGCTGCTGCTACTACTATTAAAAATAAATAGATATAAATGAATGAATAAAAGCATTTCATTATTCTTTCTGAATACTGGTAATAAATCATGAGACTATGTTGACACTATTTTAATAAACTATTTCAATAAATTAAATTATTAAAACTATTAAATATTTTAAAAGAATATTTTATGTCTGCAATCTGGTTACCGACCTGCTGCTGATCCCCTCCTTTCTTGCTGTGGTTCTGGATGAAATCTACCAGGCCATGAACGACGGTCCGCACCGCTTCCAGCCCTTTAGCTAGCTGCTCCCATGTGGGCGCAGGGGCATCTGTTAATACAAAAAACAGGTGTGAACATTCAGACATTTGTTGTTGTTATGAATGGCTGTATTGACAAATGTGTGAATGGAGCAGGCTGACGGACCTGGGCTGGGGTCGATGTCGGCCAGCAGCTCCAGATGGGGTCTGAGGCGGTTGAGATTGGCTGGATCTCCGGTTCTCTGAAGGGCGATGGTGAGTTCCTGCACACTCTGAGCAAAGGAGGCTGGTGTCTGCAACTGAAACACACAAAGCCACATAACCACATACTTCACATACCAGCAAACAAAGTCAACATGTTTTTATGCACGATGTGACGTTCGCTACACCCTAAATGCGTTCTCTACACAGCGAGGAGTGTTACTAGAGAATTTAAACATGTAACACTTGGCCATACAATATATATAAACATTTTTTGCAGACCTGCCTTAAAAAAAAAAACTACAGCGCCACCTAGTGAAATCTTAAAATAATACCCAGGAAACAATCTGAACAGGATATGTTTGGAAAATTTAAGATGTAATTACCTAAAAGGCTCTTTGAACCATAATTTTTTTCTTGCAATTTATAAACAAAAAGCTGTTTTTACTTATTATAATTATACACATCCTCATCATACCTTGTCTATGATAGACTGCATGTGGGATTTGTGCGACTGGTCGCCGTACAGTAGAGATGACCACTGGTCAGGGGCGATACGCAGTCCGCCTTCCATCGCGATCTGAACGATCTGAGAGTCGTGTTCCCTCCGAAGAGCCTCGTACGTGCGAAACTCCTCCTTCAGCTGCATTAAAGAGGAATCCTCGTCACGCTTGGTCACCTGAGATTAAAACAAATAAAATGTTATATATTTAATATAAATAAATACAAAATGTATACTTTTTTTTTTTTAGAAATATCTATTACTAATACTGTATCCCCCGGTTTCACAGACAAGGCTTAAGCCTAGTCCCAGACTAAATTGTAAGTCTGAGCGGTTTCAACTGAAAGAAACTTGCACTGACTGATGTTAAAACATATCAGTGCCTTTGTTTTGTCTCAAGATGC